GACAGAAAAAATAACACATATCATTTTAAAATTACCAAAAAAGTATTATAAATAATAATAATTAACAACTTAAAATATCTGAAAGACATTTTAAAAGGGTTAATTTTGTAATTTTATCCATATCACATAAATTATGACAAAGTGACCAGTAATGTTGGTTATTTGAAAGTTACATCAAAATATTATAAATCACAATAATTAATAACTTAAAACATTTTTATTTAAAAAATTAAAATTTGGATGACTCTCTAAATTTTATTTGTGTGACATAAATTGAGACAACAAAAATAACATATATTGGGTCCATTTTAATTTATTTGTCTTATTTTTTTTTGAGTTTTTATATTTAAAAAATGCGTAAAAATATTATAAATCATGATAATTGACAACATAAAATATTTCAAAAATTTTGTATGTGGATAGTCTTATTGTGCCTTGAATAGCGTCAAATAAAGTACAAGTTTGTAATAAAAAAACTTATTCCTTTATCCACGCAAACAATCGCTTCAAAATCTCCGTTATTAGCCCCAAAACATACCATTTATATTATTGGGCCCGTGCCCGTGCATAGCACGGGCAACATTACCTAGTATATATATATAGCAAACTAAAATGAGTGATTAATTGTGAATAGGACACGTGTTTGTTTCAAATTTTCATTTGACACCTGTCAATAGTTGGTTTAATTAATTGTTATTTTAATTATTAAAATGAGTGATTAATTGTGAATAGCACACGTGTTTGTTTCAATTTTTTCATGAATGACGTAAACAGATTGCAAATGGAGTAATTGATATTTTAAAATTTTAAAAATAGAGATTAATTGAGGCGCTGACACGTAAGTGTTATCACCTCTTCTATTATATATATATATTAATTTTTTTAACATTTAATTGTGAAAACTTCTATAAAATTGTTTTAAAAAATAATAAAAAGTATTTTATTAAAAGTATATACTTGTTTTGGATTGTGAAAATTCCAAAATGAAACCACATTTATTGATATATATCTATTACTATGTAAACAGTAAATTTTGTTGTACCAGACTCTGAACCGAATGATGTCACATAAGGCGATGCGTTGAATGGGCCTGGACGCCTTTCCCTATGAATTGGTAATGGTGTATGCTCGTCCACAGCTAACAAAGGATGTAACACCATGCTTCTTTCTGGATTAATGTTTGGTTGGTCATCATGTACCATTTGAAGAGGTGCTGGACACATTAAAACTTCTTCAACAACTAACTCATTGACATTGGATGATCCTGCTTTGTTTGTATCTGTAAATTCTTCTTTTTCCATCTTTTCAGTTTGATCGTGTATAACATTCAACAAATTTTGTTGTTATATAACAATAAACAAAATATATGACAACAACATACAAATGATCCGATTATATACAATTATAAAGTAATAATGACAAGAACATACAAAAGATGAATTGTTGAAGTCTGTTTGATCATCCATGAATTGAGATCCCTCTTTGACCACTTCAATTGGAACATCTTCACAATTCTCCTTCTATGTATAAAAGTATAAACATATATTTATATATTATAAAACTACAAAAAAAGCTATTGAAGAATTCAAACCTCAGAATTGTTTTGAACCTCAAAAATATTGGAAGTTTTCTGAACCTTAAAATTGATTGGAACTCCAGAATTGTTGTGACCCTGCAACAAATATAACTTTGTATATTAATAATAATTATTTCAACATTATTATACAGTTTGTTACAAATTGAATATTGTTATTAAATTATACAATAGATAATTATACATTTGGACAGTTACTTAGTTGTATATGTATAATAATAATATATTTACACATACATGTACATGTATATGTATATGTATGTTATTTGTTTGAAAACATTTTAACTCTATATGTATGTTAGTTTATTTGTATATAACAATTGATAATGTTGTTTATAACACAAAAGTAATAAATTATATGTGGCTCGGGATTACTGAATTGTTGAACTAAAGGGCTAAATGTTGATTGTCCAGCTGGAGAGTGTAAATTTAACTGGTGAATACTAACTTCTGGAGTAGATGATGGGACTGATACTCGAACAACCTTCTGCAGAATTTTTAAGAAAATATACATTATATACAAAAGGCCATAAAAGTTTAAATAATGAACAAGATAAATAGGTATAATACCTCTTGATCATTTAGATCATTAAAAACAGATTGACAGTTCAATTCAGAAGGTAAATGTTGAGAAGGTTCTTCGGATTGAACGACACCAACTGGCACTTTATCTGTAACTTCTACACCATCACCCTGAAAGAAAAATATTAAATGTATATTTTATCACAATTATGTATAATATATATGTGTTGATCTATATTAACAAACCTTATCTTCCGCATTCTTTGATTTGATATAATCCAACACAACTTTGAAGTTGTTTTCAATGAAGTTCCTTAAATCAGTAAACTGTTTCTCCATCTGAAATTGGACATATATATGTAATTTAACGCTAAATATACAAATTAAAAACAAATTTAATAATAAAAACAATTAAAAAATAAATACTGAGAGTTTGAATTGATCAAACTCATCACGCGATATACTGAAATCATGTGACTTGCTGGTGGATGGTATTTCGAAAGCAACACTTGATTTAATCTCAACATTTTGCTTAATGCCTGTATAGGATGGAACATTAGCATGTTTTTTGGCCTGCCTCTTTGGAAGTGGTGACTTAGGTCTTTTTGCAACATTGGCACGTCGGGGAGACTTTATTAAACAAGGCTGCTTTGAAATGACCCTAGGTGTTGTCTTGTTCTGAATAGGAGTGACCTGTCTGCCTTGATTTCTTCTTAGGAGGCGACAAACAAGTATCAACTTTTTCTTTTCCCTTGTTATTTATTGGACATGGAGGATCCTGAAAATCATCGTCTGAAGCATTTGCAGTTGTTGTTTATGTTGGAGATGAATCTGATTGAACATACTCAGGAGGTAATTCAAGAATCTTGAGTTCCATTGGAGTTGGAGTTATATTCTTAAAAACAAGCTGCAAAATATAGACATGTTCATATTGACATATTCATTATACAAAATGTTTACTTAATCAAATGTAAAAACATATACAATTTATATATATATATATATACATTAGACAAACTTATATGTATAATTATACAGTTTATAAGCTTATATATACAAATGAGCTTATGTTTATAAAGTTCACATACTTACGGGTATATTTATACATTGTCAAAAACTTGTATAAATAATAATACATTGAGCAAATTTATACATATAGTTTTCTATAGCACAAACTGATACATATATTTATACATTTATATATTTATACAGTTATATGTCTATACTATAATTATACAGATAATATATTATACATAAAATTGTACAGTGCGTACCGGATTGTTGTCGTCTCTGAACATGCCCTTAGCAAAATAGCTTAGACGAGGGAAATCTTTTTTTGTCTTCCAGTTAAGTATCCTAGGGATGTGATGAGATACCTTAACAGCAATTTCCTCATCAAAATTCGAACAACATTCATAAAACCACACTTGCAAAGCAAGTGGGAAACCATACAACATAAAATACTTTCCATCGTGTTTGATCTTAGTGTGCAAATGTAGAATCAGAAGGTCAAAAGCCTTTTTACCCCATGGGTAGTCAATGTATCTGCCCGATTCAACCAAATCAAAGTCTTTCCTATCAATAACAGTAGTGGTTGGTTCTTCGGAAAGGATGAATGAATGTATATAGAACAATATAGCAAACTTTACCGCATCATCATCATTATCCCCCCAAACCTTATTATCAAACTTTTCAACCAACT